CATTTTGCCTGAGCGAGCAGATGGTCACCTTTATTTAAAACACAATTTCAGTAAGTGTGCTTATTCTCTGCGACATTGCTTTTCCGCGAAACCCTTACGGTAACATAACCTGAGGTACCCACCTGCCGAATGACCAGAATTTTCAGTGAGCTCTTGCCACTCTGGTAGTTGAAACTCAAATATCTCTTGCCCATGTTTAAGCTATGGGAATCATTCAATTTGCAGCTCCAGTAACTGCTTTCTGTCTCACTGCGTGGCATTTCACCATCTTCCTGTGCACCTTGGCACACAGCAAAAGACCCAATGAAACCCCTGTGCAGATCCCTAGAGCCTCTCTGCCCACATCGCTGGTGCTGCAACCCACACACTAATGCTGCCCCGACTTTCTGTCTCTTTTACACAGACTGACATGTTTTCCTGGGTTTCCTCCTTCCTGCACTGTCTGGTTTGGTAATGAGTCACTCCATTATAAGCAGAAATAGAAGCCAGAATTTATTATTATTTTTTTTAAGAGACAGAGTCTCACTTCATCACCCTTGACAAAGTGTTGTGGCACCACAGCTCACAGCAACTTCCAACTCCTGGGCTTAGGCGATTCTCTTGCCTCAACCTCCCTAATAGCTGGGACTACAGGCACCTGCCACAACACCCAGCTATTTTTTGCTTGCAGTTTGGCTAGGGCCTGGTTTGAACCCGCCACCCTTGGTATATGGGGCCTGTGTCCTACTCACTGAGCCACAGGTGCTGCCTAGAAGCCAGAATTTTAAAAAATCTAGGTTGAGTTTTTTACATGTGGAGGCTCATATAACTGCCCTAGTTATTTATGACAGCACAGGTCATTACTGCACTAGTTTTATAAAGTTATTTAATGTACATTCTCTGATTTGGTCCTCACAATACAGTGAGCCAAAGGTGAGCTGTTTATGATCATTGCTAGTCAATTAGCCCGAGGCTCACAGATGCAGGTAAATACTCCGAGCAGTGCACCTGCTAAGGGATGAGGCTGGGAATGCGACATTGAGCATGAACTGCTAATGCTAAACTTGTGTCTGGGTTTTCTTTTCCTCAAATCCCTGGTTTCATCCATTATCAGGAAACTCTTTATTTTCCACCATCTATTCTTCCTCCTTCCTTTCTTAAACTTTTAAATTTATTTTTATTATGGGTTAACATGAGGGTACATACAATTAGGTTACATTATGCATTGTATTATACACCTAAAGCAACCTCTGTAACATGCCCAAAATAGAAGAAAATGAACAATAATTTAAAGAATTTGCACCAAAACAAAGGTCCAAGTGATCTATAAAGTATCTTTGCTATTTTATTTGCGTAGGTAAGTGAAAAAACCATTTACCAATAAATACAGAACTATTTTAGTTGTAGAAAAGGCTATCATTGCCACCTACTGGACATGTCTGTAATTGACAACTTGCTATAAGAAAATTAACAAGATTAAAAAAAATCACTATTTAATATATCTCCTACCCCAGCATCTTAACAAGATGCCCAAATCTACCCCCAGCATCTTAACAAGATAGTGCTAAATAATGCCATTAAATGTATAATTTGTTTATATTAGTAATGCTAATTAATAATGAGCATCACTTCTGACCATAAAATGCCACCTACTGGTGTACCATAAAATTTTGGTTGCAAGTACACTGGGGACCATCTTATGATATCTTATGTTTTACAGAAAATCCAAGAACCTGAATTGTTTGCCCATGGGCTTAGAACCCCGAATTTCAATTATTTACACCAGCTCTAGACAGAGAAGAAGGTTAGAAACTAGTCTTGCATTGTCTTTTATCTCAGTCTTTTAAAATCTCAACTTACACTGCAAATTGTATATCCTTCATAACCTGGCTAATTATATACTCTGGTGATTCTTAACCCTGATACATCAAAATCACCTGCGAAAGTTTAAAATAAACTGATGCTGGTACCAAAGCCAGAGATTTATTTTATCTGGCCAGGGTTTAAAGAGCCATTAGTAGATACCAGTGGTTCTAAAAGCACGGTCCCCAGACCATCATCGCCACCTGGTTAGAAACACACACTTTCAAGGCCCACCCCAGATTATTGGGTAGGGGTAGTAATCTGTGTTTTCCAGTCCTTTCAGATGAGTTGGAGACAAGCTAAAGTTTGAGAATCACTACTATTTACTATAAAACTTTTCTTTTTTTTTTACTCTTATTTACGCATAAAATTTAGTTTACTGTTCTCTAACCAAAAAAATATGCTAATTTAAAAAAGGAGATTTGCATTAAGAGTAATCTAGCGCAGTCCTATTTTTCCAGAAGCATACCATTATAAACATTCAACAAAGTTCCAGTGAGCCAACAGAAAAATGCTCTGGAAGGATAAAGGGTAATTTATTCACAGGCCAGGTAACAAGGCCCTGGAAGGTTTCTGCACAGCGCAAGGTTTCCAGTCATACTTCCTTATTCTGGCTTGTTCTGATCAATAAGGCACCAAAGTCATAATAAGGCCTTTTAGCCACAGCAGACCTTTTGACCCAGGAATGCCACTCTGGAAACAGGAAAATAAGTCATGCCTAAATATTTTCTCTACCTGTAGCTAATTAAGCCGACCAGGCTCCTTTCCTCATGGGGGCCTGGTGTACAGTGACTGCAAACAGCAGCCTCCATGGTAGTGTACACAGCCTGTTGCTTGTATGGGTTGCTCTAAAGGACCTTGGAGCTATTCCTTTCTAATACAAGTTCATGTGTTAGGCCTTGTGCTCCCCCCAGGCTAGGCTCCAGACAGGCATGCGTGGTGCCTTTGGAAAGCTCCAGGGCACTGTGGCCAGGGTTCACATTGGCCAAATCATCATGTCCCCTTGCTGCCAATGTGAAGAGTCACATCTCCAAGAAGTGCGGTTTTACCAAGTTTCACTCAGATGAATTTAAAGACATGGTGGCTGAGAAGTGGCTTATCCCAGATGGCTGTGGGGTCAAGTACGTCCCCAACTGTGGCCCCCTGGACAAGTAGCGGGCCCTGTACTCATGTGGACTGTGCTGTCTCTCATTTGCGCCTACCAATAATAAATCCTACTTCCTGTACACTTAAAAAAATATTTTCTCTAAAGCACTGTAAATAATGGGGAAGGGACCAAAAGTTAAATGAGCAACTATTGGGGAATGATTCATAAATTAGAACATCGACAGGATGAACTATTGTTCAATCATTAAAATGATGCTTTTCGTGTTTAAAGCACACAGGGGAACGAATGCCTTGTAGCATCGTGTATACACTCTCTCACTGTCTCAACTGAAAACTACAAAGGACTAAAATATTAGTGCTAGTTATCCCTAAGGTGCAGGATCATGAGTGGTTTTTAAGACATTTAGTCAATGTTTTTATGTTGTTCAATATGAGTATACTTACTCCCTTAATCAGAAGAAAATTTACAAACATTTAAAATAACAGAGCTTCTACGTTGTGAATTACGATCCTCAAATGACATTTCAGAAGATGGTAACTGTGGGAAAGCGTCTTTCCATCCTGGGCCCCTCTTTTCTCATCTCACTCCGTCTAGCTCTTCCATTTCTAGTCTCTTCACATCAGCCCTGCCATGTACTAGAAAGACCAGGAACTGAAGGTTAATTATTCAATAGTTTAAAGTTTTAAAATTCTTCAGGGACATGGTTTATGTTAGACCATACGAAAAGGAGGTAAAGTAGCTTAAAGGTCAAGCGTGCCTAAGGGCTTCAAACTCAGGTAGATTTAGGTGTGAATCTTAGTTTTGTGGACCTCACACAGGTCTCACTTTCCCCATCTGTACAGTGGAAGCCCCGGGCTCAGACCTGCTGTGAGGATGAAACAGGAGGATGCACAGAAAGCACAAGATGGTAACAGGTCCTGTGTCCGTCTGTTGTGTGTGCTGCTCTAACAGGATCCAGAGACTGGGTAATTTATAAAAAACAGAGATTCATTTCTTACGGTTCTGGAGACTGGAAGTCTAAGATCACAGTGCCGGCTTCTGGCAATAAGTTTCAGGCTCCCATGGCAGAAGGGAAAGGGCAGGAGAGAGCGAGGAGGGCGGCAGGCCCTGCAGCCCCAAGGCCTTTCACCAGGGGCTAGAATCCACACAGGGAAATAGAGCCCTCGCCACCCGCACCATCAGACCCCATCTCCAACACCGCGGCACAGGGGAGGAAGTTTCCAACACATGCTTTTGTGGGGGGGGCACGTTCAAACCTGGGCAGTGCTCAGAAAGAGGTCATTGCCATTACTGTTTGTAGTTATTGCTATTTTTTTTGTAAACAGCCACTAACTTTTAATTTTCCTGTGGGAAAAAACCTTAGAGGAGTACAGTGGTTATTCATAGTTATTTGAACTTCCCAGACCACTAACATTTCAAAAACAACTCAGAAGACCTACATAAAGCTGTCAGAAGTTTTCTTTACAAAGTGGATGTTACTAAAGCCCCACCAATAAATTTACTGTCACTATTGTTTCATAAAAGGAAAAGCACAGAATACCCCCTAAAAAAAGTAGAAGACAGTCTCAGAGTAAAGGAGTCCTTCCCAAGAAAGAACAGTGGCCAATCAATGTATGCTAAAATGACGCTTCTTTTTTTCCTTCTGTAACATACCAGTAAGCACTTAAGGTTTACTGTCAGTCTGCAGACTGGCTCTCGAGGAAGGAGACTTGACTTGTTAGCCTGGTGCTTCACCTAGGAAAGTTGTTCCAGCCACCCCACGGGTGTTCATTCAACACACACTAACACCGTGGTACTACGGAGAGGAATTCACCATCCAATGAGGTCAAGTGTATGAAAACAGTACAGACACAGTACCTTGTATATTATGAAGCATCATAAAAACATAAGGTGTTATTACCAGAAAAAGTAAATTATTAAACATCGATTCCTAAGGGAAAGAGATTACCCAAACATATTTAGTGATGGCTTAGTAATTTTCTATATTCATGCAATCACAAATGGTGATATGTACTTTTTTTTTTTTTTAAAGAAAAGTCATATTTGTGATGTAGCTCGTGACTCTGCCTTAGGGGAACTGAGGATGCAACTGTTCCCTCTGATGGTTATAGCTCCCGAGGGAAGGTTAGTAAGCTAGAAATTGCTGCTATAATTACCAGTATTACACGCTGGTTTTAAGGAAGAAAACGTGATAGGATTGAAAAGGCAGGTTCAGACGCAGGGAAAATTTTATTTTCTTATTCTTGAAATTGTTGTAAGATTTTCCAGTGTTGAAATTCACTTTCAAATATGATGGTTGAGAAAGAATAAGACATAAGAAACCAAACATAGAAAATACGCAGTTTTATAAGTCTTACAATTTTCTCTGTTGCTTCATCCACTAAAAATGATTTCACAGTTCACCACATTTAGGCAGTTTCTTTGTTACTTTCTTCAGTTTTTACTTCCTTAGGCAAAAACGGATCCATTTTTAGTAACAAACCTTCACTTGTTGAAGAACGAAGGAAAGCACGTACCACAAAGGGACCTGGACACAAAGACAAGAATCAACTTTATTTTATTCCACTGATTCCCCTAATGAGCAAATGCTGTAGGTCCGTCCTTAATGTCATCCATAGGTTCTTGGAAACTGACTAAGCGAAATGACTTACAATGACCAGTTTACCACAGGCTAATTGATAAAAACAAGAGTTAAGTCTCCACAGTACATTTCTGGTCACAAATATATCATCAAACTTCTAAATAAAGATCAAAACACTTCCAATATTAAACACAGAAATAAATGGACACTATAGCCACATTTTCAAAAGATTAATAAAACAACTAAAATACTTATTTACCCAACTTTGGGTGAATCAGTGAGTCACAAGAATCCTAATGGTGGTAGATTAAATCAAGGAATAACTGTTTGCAAAGTGAGACCAACCTCTCAGTGCAGGATCACAGGGATGGAAAAACAAACACCACATGCGCTCACTCAAACTGGAACAGACGCTCAACATGCAAAATTCAACAGAAACAGAGTGGGCGGGAAGGGGAGTGGGCGGTGCATTCAGTGCACAGGCACAGTGCACAGGATCTGGGGATGGACACAGTTGTAACCTTGTCTCAAACTGTGAACAAAAGCAAGCATGTAACCAAAACATCTGAACTTCTGTGACATTAAAGAAAAAGATAATTATAAGGACCACCACAAAGTTTCAAAAGACAAACACGTGAAACGGACACCCCGAGGGGCGTCCCCACTGCAGTCTTTACTCTCCTGCTGTCCCACGACTGTCACATACTTAGAAACTTTTATTTTACAGTAACTTACCCAAACTCAGTGGTCTGTGCTTACAAACTTCATCAATAACTGCTTGCAGATTGGCAATGATCTGGTCACTCGACATATCCAACTGAAAGAAAGGATATATATAACATGAATAAGAAAATGAGATGATTATACAATTTGAGTAACTGTATCAGTATTTGTTCTAGACTATTTTTCAAACGTTCAACTAATGCACATTATTTAGTAAGAGACCCTACTATGAAAGGAAAAAAATCCCCATAACTCTTCTTTTAGATGCTAAATTGTCCTGTCTTTACATTCCAAGGTGTAACTGCCTTACAGAACTTACCACAGCAAAGTATTTTAAGGTTTTGTACTTGCAAGATCTTGATTTCCAAGTCATTTCCCTAAAGCATATCTTGGAACAGAATACACCACTGCCCACATCCGCCCCAAGGAATTAGTGACATTTTCTCTTGAAGTTATTTGTTGATTTATATGTAAACTAAGAAAATGTTTAAAATTAATGCTTTCATGAGTCCAAAGTAAAACTATTTGCTCCATGCATTCAGACAGTACATATCTCAGACCGAGACGTTTCTAGGATACTGTGCTACAGCTGGATTTTTCACACTCCCTATGCAGTAATAATTATCTTGCTATTGAGCAAAAACTATGGCAAGTAAATACACAGTGAATGAGTCCTACTCATAAAACTCCTAGGGAGGCGCCTGTGGCTCAGTGAGTAGGGCGCCGGCCCCATATACCAAGGGTGGCGGGTTCAAACCCAGCCCCGGCCAAACTGCAACAAAAAATAGCCGGGTATTGTGGCGGGCGCCTGTAGTCCCAGCTACTTGGGAGGCTGAGGCAAGAGAATCACCTAAGCCCAAGAGTTGGAGGTTGCTGGAGCGACTCCGCTGCACTCTACCGAGGGTGAAAAAGTGAGACTCTGTCTCTACAAAAACAAAAACAAACAAACAAACAAAAAACTCCTAAACCCGGTTTGCATCCTGGAAAAGTCCCTTTTATCATTCAAATGCAATAAATACGAATGATATGAATATCCTAAGCGTATCAGTTAAAACTGATTCTTATATTTAGAGGATTTTGCATTGTGCCAGTTTCTTAAATCAATTTTTAAAAATTCCTATAAAACTTACAACAGCATAAATGTCAAAAATCATATAGTAAAAGAGTCCAAATGCAAACACGATTTCTCTTGTCTAGAGACTCCGAGACCATCGTGAGGAATGCACCCCACATAAGCAGAAAGAGAATTCCTTCCAAGAACTTTTTCCCATTATCATCAAACAACATTAATTGACAACCACTTGGGCATGATGCATTCCCAAACCCTCAATGAGAAAGTCTGGACGAGACGGAAAGAGTTCTCACTCCATGCCCATCCGTACGAGGGAGTTCTGAAAGGAAACTAATCCAAGCAACGCTGAGTTCACCTTTTACGTCCACAGACCCTGAGACGTCTAACTTGCACTGAAGCAAGCTGTTCATTGGCAGGGAAGTCACTGTACATATTCTATGTTTAAATAAAAAGAAAAAGCTAAGGGCACCAGCATGTGTCTCTGCCTCCTTTCATCCCCTCTGAACTCTCCACTTTACCTCAACCAAACTGACCATCATAGAGCTACTAAGTTCCTTTACTCTTTATTACAGACTATACTTACCTTAGCTTGAAAAACGGATACAATAAAAACCAAGATTTTCAACATATATATTTTTAGCAGTTATAATCTTTATAAATCTTTATTGTTATACGTAACTATACTTTATGCAGCCTTATGTTTGCCATTCCTACAACAAGCTAAAATGACAACATAGGCTTTAGGCGGGCATGGTGGCTCATGCCCATAATCCCAGCACTCTGGGAGGCCAAGGCGGGTGCATATTCTGAGCTCAGGAGTTCGAGACCAGCCTGAGCAAGAGCAAGACCCCTATCTCTAAAAAGCAGCTGGGGAGATGCAGGGAGCCTGTAATCACAGCTATGTGAGAGACTGAGGTAAGAGAATCACTTGAACCCAAAACTTTGAGGTTGCTGTGAGCTGTGATGCTACAGCACTCTACCAAGGGTGACAAAGTGAGACTGTCTCAAAAACAAAAACATATGGTTTAAATGCCATGTAATTACTTCCCCTGCAACTTTCATTACTAGAATGCCTTCAATGATTTTAAGTTTTAAAAAATATAAAATGTTTTTAAAATATAGTTTATATTTTTCTTCAGATTTTAGCAGCTATCGCTAATCTATAGTATTGTGCCCTCTGCTGAATTTTAAAATATATTTATAGCCATAGCACTTTATTTTACTTTGTCTTTTACATATTATATAAAATTATGGAAAAGTTACATATTTTATGGGCATTATGATGATCATTAAACTGGCTGATGACAAGATAGCTATGTACAAAAATAAAATGTGTACATGAGTTTCATCAAAATTTACATAGGGGCTCGGCGCCTGTGGCTCAAGCAGCTAAGGCACCAGCCACATACACCTGAGCTGGCAGGTTCGAATCCAACCCCAGCCTGCCAAACAACAATGACGGCTGCAACCAAAAAATAGCCAGGCATTGTGGTGGGCTCCTGTGGTCCCAGCTACCT